AACCAACCATGTAAATTGAACAAAGAGATTGAACAACCTATTCTCCCATCTCAAGAAGAAGGAGGAAACAATGATGATTTGCCAAGAGAATGGAAGTTTGTTTATAATCACCCTAAGGATTTAATCCTAGGTAACCCTACGAAAGGTATTGAAACTCGCTTTTCACTTAGAAATATTTGTAGTAACTTGGCTTTTCTCTCACAGATTAAGCCTAAAAACTTTCAAGAAGCCGAATTCGATGAACATTGGATGATAGCTATGCATGAAGAGCTTAACCAATTTGAGAGAAACAACGTGTGGGAACTTGTGCCAAAACCTAAAGATCATATAATTATCAGTACCAAATGGATCTTTCGAAATAAGCTTGACGAATCCGGCACAATTATAAGAAACAAGGCTAGACTTGTTACACAAGGATACAATCAAGAAGAAGGTATTGATTTCGATGAAACCTTTGCTCCGATTGCTAGATTAGAAGCCATTCGCATGTTACTTGCATTTGCATATTTTAGAGATTTCAAACTTTATCAAATGGATGTAAAAAGTGCCTTTCTTAATGGTTTTATAAATGAGGAAGTTTATGTTAAACAACTCACAGGTTTTGAAGATCATGTTTTTTCAAATCATGTTTTAAACTATCAAAAGCTTTATATGATTTGAAACAAGCACCTCGTGCATGGTATGAACGATTAAGTAAATTTTTGATTGAAAATAATTTTTCTAGAGGAACGATTGACACAATACTTTTTATTAAAACTAAAATTATGATTTACTTATTGTACAAATATATGTAGATGACATTATATTTGGTGCTAGTAATGAAACCTTGTGTAAGGAATTTGCTAAGTGTATGCAAGGTGAGTTTGAGATGAGTATGATGGGGGAGCTAAATTATTTCTTTAGGCTTCAAATCAAACAATGTAAGGAAGGAATTTTTATCAACCAAGCTAAGTACACAAAAGAACTACTCAAAAATTTGGTATGTATGACTCAAAAATAGCTAGAACACCTATGAGCGCATCCATTAAGCTAGACAAGGATGAAAAAGGTAAGTCTATTGATCAAACAAAATATTGAGGTATGATCGGCTCACTTCTTTATTTAACTACAAGTAGACCCGATATTATGTTTAGTGTTTGTATGTGTGCTAGATATCAATCAAATCTTAAGAAATTACATTTCAGTGCTGTTAAAAGAATTTTTAGACATCTTGTTGGCACTCAAAATTTGGGATTGTTTTATCCTAGAGGTGTTACATTTGATTTAATTAGTTACTCGCATGCCGACTTTGCCGAATGCAAACTTGATAGAAAAAGCACCAGTGGCACTTGCCACTTTCTTGGTAACTCATTAGTATCTTCGTTTAGCAAAAAGCAAAATTTTGTTACTTTATCAACATCCGAAGCTGAATATATAGCTTCCGGAAAATGTTGTGCCCAAATACTTTAGATGAAACAATAATTGGAGGATTTTGATTTGCATTATGATCATATCCCTATTAAATGTGATAATACTAGTGCCATCAATTTAAGCAAAAATCCGATTCAACACTCACGAATAAAACATATTTAAATTCAACATCATTTTTTAAGAGATCATGTTCAAAAAGGGGATATTGTACTTGAATTTGTAAACACCGACAAGCAATTGGCGGATATTTTCATAAAACCCCTAAGCGAGGATCGCTTTAATTTTATTCGTGGCGAGCTTGGAATGTCGATTTCTACTTAAAAAGTTTTGTTATGACTGTGAAACTTGAATTTTTGTTAAAATGATATATGTGTATTGCTACATTGATATGAAAACATTTATATCAGTTGTATGCTCTTAAGTCCTTCATACATTTATTATCCTTAACAGTTTGTCATTCTCAACTGTGTAATTTTTTTGGGGTTTTACATCTTGAGGTAAAATTAACTTTGCATACATTGATTTTCTTTAAAACTCTCATGGTATTTTTTTTACATTACCCTTCCAGCAACACTAACGTCCCATTAAGTATAATTTCTGCTGGTATTATTTTATTTTAATTTATTTTTTTATTGCTATTAGGTTTAATATCTTTTATTTTTTTATTTATTTTTTGTTGTTTTACTAATAGGATTCATTTCCTTTATTATTATTATTTTCTTTTCAATATTTTTTAAAAAAAATTTGTTGTTTTGCCCAGAGGCTTAATTTTGATTTTTTTTTTTTTTGTTTTGCACTTTACTTTCATCTTCAAGTGATTACATTAAATATAAAAACAAACACAAATCAAAATATGCATATTTACATAAATAAGATAAAAAATTCCCTTCATTTTTCCGGTCATTGGCCGACCTCACTTATTCGCCTCTTCCACCGCTCTCTTCTTCTTTTTATCACCTTGGGCGACGCTTGACGTCCCTGCCCCTGTGCTTTCATCGAGAGCGAGTACTCCCCGCCGACTATCAAAAGCCAAGAACAACGTTACTCCAAATCGGGTCATGGAGGTGGTCTTCCGTTTAAGCTCTTTATTTTCAACCTTCAGTGCGCAAATCTCTGCTCGCACATCCTTGTACATGCGCTGGAGTAGAGAGAGTTGGGCGTTTCTATTCTGCAGTCGATGCACCAATTTTGTGACTGCAGTCACCGTCTCTATACAGGATGTCAGTGTGAAATGATTGGCTTCAATATCTGATTGCATTGCCATTATTTGCTCAATCAACATCATAGGAAGGTTGGGAAGAGTAGGCGCCGGGGCACTCGGCCGAGCAGCGCTTGAGAGGTCATTCAGGTCCGGAAAGAGAGTGAGGGGACGGGGTGAGGCCATGTGGTCGACAAGAGAAATGTAATCGAAAGGAGGGTCGTTTTTGGCAGACTTTCTGCTCTGCTCAGTCTCTCTGCTCTATTTCTCTCAAGACGACGTAGAAAGGGATGCAAGCGAATGAGGAAGAAGAAGGAGAAATGAGTGATTAAGAAGAAAAAGATGGAAGAGAAGAAGACATGCGGGAGAGAGAGCCGAGGCAGTTGATTGACCCGTCGCGCTTTTGTCGGTCGGCTGACGCAAAAGCGAGGCCGCGTGTCCAACGTGATTTTCGACGAAAAAGAGAGAAGCGGGCGAATCCTATATATATATATATATATATCTGTTTTGATTATCTGTTTTTGATGCCATTTATCCCTATCATTTTCCTCCTCCTCCTCCTCCTCCCGATTCTGAGCCATAATTTCCTTTTTGATAATGTCACAGGGGGAGAAACTTATGATGTTATATATTATGATGTTATGTATTATGATGATGTTATGTATTATGGTATTATTTTCAAACTAACATGATGTTATGTATTTATAGTTTGATATTTTAATCTTATATCATGTTGTTGATTAAAGCTTATTTATTACACATGTGCTAACCTATGTATTTAGAAATGAATTTAGGGAGCATGACTTGAGGGGGAGCCTTTCTTACTCCCAAATCAAATTAAAACATCATTGTGTACCATCATTAAAAAGGGAGAGATTGTTAGACTTATTTATTTTGATGATTTATTTAATTATGTTTTAATTTATTTAAAAGAGAAAAATAGAATTCAAAATTTATTTTGATGATTTATTTAATTATATTTTAATTTATTTGAAAAAGAAAAATAGAATCTAAAATTTATTTTGATGATTTATTTAATTATGTTTTAATTTATTTGAAAGAGAAAAATATAATCAAAATTTATTTTGTCCCATTATTTTTCACCTAAACTTTTATTCTAAATATTGTTTGAATGTATTTAATAGTTGCTTAAATCAAGAGTTTATTTCAATCCAAAAATAATGCCCAAACCAGACGTTCAAACAGCCCAAAACAAAGATTCAAACAACCTAGTACAGCAGCAGGCCAAAAGGCTCAAGTGGAAGATATTCAAATTAGTAATGATAGAGTGAAAGATATTCAAATTAGTAATGATGGAGTAGAAGATATTCAAATGAATACAACGGCTATAAACGGCTATAAGTTTCATTATATATACCAAAGCCTCTGATGTGAATAAGATATAGCGACTACAAACAAGTTACAGAAACCAGAAAATATATTTTGATCTAAAATCACTCTCATCTATTCTCTGAAAAATTTTCTAAGAAGTATTTTTCAATTTTTGTTTATATCCTGTCTCAGAAATTATACATTAAGTGGTATAGCTTTAAGCCCATCTTTCCTGTGTGAGGATTACAGAAAAATCAGAGTTTCATTTTTATATCTATCTTTGAGAGATAATTCTTATAGCTTTCTGTGAAAGCAAAAACACATTCTTTTCAATCCTGTAAGAGTATAGTACTCTCAACGATTTTTTTTTTTTTGACTTAGAAAGTCTGTGTAAAATCTGTGGAGGATTACTCCATCTGTGAAAAGGTTACTAGCACCCTGTGAAGTTAGAGAATAGTAAAAAATCCCAAGTGAAACTTGAGAAGTGGACGTAGGCTGAGTTGAAATCGGACTACTATAAATTTGTTTGTCTCTCTCTCCCTTATCTCTTTATTTTATTTAAATTGCCATAACTATATTTTATATTTTTATTATGCTAAAATCATTAATTGACATAGTTGTTAGAACACTTGTTTTAATTATTTTTATTTCATTAACTATATTTATCTATTGTGTTAGTCATAATTTTTATTAGGGAATTATTATTTTTATTTGTAAAAACTTAATTCACCCCCTTATCTTTTGGGTAACAATATATATAACCCATTTCATTAATCAATCATTAAGTCAATTATAAGTTTTTAATAATATCATAAACATATTTAAATTAATTGTTGTAGTCATTTTATTATTGTAAAATGATAGATAAATTCTGACGGAGAGTATTTATAACTAACGAATTACTCGTGTTTGAAGACACCTCCAGAACTATAGAAAGATTAATCGTATTTTAAATAAATCTTAAAATATATATATATATATATATATATTTGTAATTTATTCTCATAGAATTGGGGTCCTAGTATTGATGTTATAGAATTTTAGAGGAAGTGGAGGCAAGCCCAACAAGAGGGACCCTAGAAGGAATCGACCTCCAATCCAACACGTAACACAAAGTTCCAGACCAGGTGTGAGCCCTGTGTGCGATGCAAAGCCCTCAACGCCACTCTCTCATCAAAATCAATCCCTTCTCTTCCCGTTAACGGCCAAACCGAAAATTGCTGGCTCCTTCATAATAACACACACAACCTTTCTCTCTCTCTCTCTCTCTCTCTCTCTCTATTCAGCATAAGAATTATCGACACTTTCACTTGACGAAAAACCCAAAAGAGAGAGGCCTCCGCGACGATCTTCTCAATTCTCTTTCTCATTGATTAATACTCAATAATCTCTCTCTCTCTTCGCTCTCCTCTCATTCGAAGGACGACAACCGAAGACTCTATCTTCGATCGCGATCTTCTCTCTCCGGCGATCTCTTTCACACTCCGGTGACTCTCTAACTATTCTTCGATTTCATTGCATTCGTATCTTTAATTCATTCATTCGATGCATGTCGATTGTGTTCCCAAGTTTCCTGAGTTTTTTCAATTTTTGTTGCTGTTTGGTTGCTGAGAAAACCGCGGAAGGGAGAAGAAAATGTGATTGTGAATCTTTAATTCATTTTTTTTTGCTGCTGATTTTCCGAGATTTTTTAAATTATCACCTTTACACAGCAGCGGAACTTCAATTTCGAGCATTATTGTTACTTATTTTGAGAACCTTTGGTATTTTGCAGAGATATATTTTGATCGAGTTGTTGAATTGAAGATCTGTTTATTTGAATTGGTGGAGAATTTGGAGAATGACTTCGCTTTCTCATTCTCCAATCCAGTTTACTGGAAATTTAGCTTCTGGAAATCCTGTTTCGGATCTTCTGCGTAGCTCGAGTAATGGTATTGTTGGTGTGCCTTTGAAAGCCCTAGGGAGGGCTCGATTTGGAGCAATAAGGAGGGACTTTACGGTCTCTGCAAAGATTAGGAAGGTAAAGAAGCATGAGTACCCTTGGCCCGATCATGCGGATCCGAATGTGAAGGGCGGAGTCCTCAGTCATCTCTCGCCTTTCAAGCCTTTGAAAGAGAAGCAAAAGCCGGTTACTTTGGCCTTTGAGAAACCTCTAATGGATCTGCGAAAGAAGATAATCGATGTATGCCCTTTTAGCAAAATTTGATTTGTTACCAAATTTAGAACATATGACAATTTGTTTCATGATATATACTTCTATTTGCGGCAGGTACAAAAGATGGCTAATGAAACCGGTCTGGACTTCAGTGATCAGATTATCTTACTTGAGAATAAGTACCATCAGGTTTGACAATAATGCATTCCCATAGTTTACATTTGTCTCTTGAGTTTAAAGCTTTTAAGTCTAACAGTTTCCTAAAGGTAACTTAATTATGCTATAATAATTTAGAAAAATCTGGGTATATAATCTAAACATCAATTTACTTTAAAATCTTATTTGGATTCAAATCAGTGGCGACTCCAGGTTTTTATAAGGATGGGGTCACTCCAAAAACTAAGTTCCACAATTTTTATGAGGAAAAATAAATAAAAATAAACTAGCTAAAATTTAAATTTCTCCAACTTCAAGTAAAATAAACTTTTAATAAAATACTAGTGTCTTAACAAAACAAAAAAATATGTAAACTTCTACAATTGCATTCGATGAGGTGCCATTTTTTGAAATTTTTGCATGATAAATTCATTGTCAATAGTGTCAAACACATCATTTTCTATATATATTATCAAGCAATCATTCAACCACTGATTTGTTGGGGTCAATTGATTATTAAGTAAAAAATTTACCATTAAAAAAAAAAAAATCAAAGGCTTTTGGCAAGCTGATGGGGGGATGGCTCCCCATCAGTTGCTTGGTAGAGTCGGCCATGATTCAAATTGTTTGATTATTCTTTGAGTATTATTTTCTATTGTGACTGTACAAAATGCTTTAATTACAGAACTGCTTGTCCTGTCCTTATACTGAAAATTGGGTAGGCATTGCATCTTGTTGTGCATCCTACTGCAGTGTTCTTCCATATTTTTTTTCTTCATGAATTACTAGTGGCATTCAAGTTTTTGAGACATTTATTTATGTACAACGAGTGATGGGCATGCTTACTCTTCTATACCAATGCTGTAGATTTTCCATTTGTGCCCAATGTTTATTCATGCAGAGGCATGAGGCTTTACTTGCTCAGAAACTATTGTTGGGTGATTTTAATCTATAGAGGAATTTGAAACTTTGTAAACCATTCCCCAACCAAATTTTAATGTCTCATAAAATTCTACATGTTGAAGTATCTCTTGGAAGAAAAAAAGAAGGAAAAATTAGTTGGGAAAGTAGAAGGGTTATGTGGATTCGCATTAAGATTTTCTCAAGTATATTCCTTGTTTTGCTGGTCCAAACCATCTGCCTGTACTTGTGGTTGAAGTGATATTGGTGTGTTTAATGCTTGTAATTTTATCATCTCAATGTTGATTCCTTTTTTTTTTCCCCCATAAAAATGGAGTCAAAAACAAAAGGAACCCACCTCCTCACAAAAAGGGAAGTAGAATTTGGAGAAAACAAAGAAAAATTGAACATTTAGAGTTTCAAATTTATTTTAGTGCTTTTAGATGGCCACATGATTTTGTTAGACTGATATTGGACATGTTTCGATTGATGCCGAAATCTGTATCATAGCTAGATAGAGGCACTTTAAATTTTACATATTTGTGTGTGTGTGTGTTTATATATTTCATAGGTAACAGAGACTTAATAAGGCTAATTCTTCTATGTTGTTGCACTTCAGAAATACATAATATACACAAAAATAAACTCTATTAATGTCTTCCCATTGTTAATTTCAGGCTCTGAAGGATCTGTATACACACCTGATTCCCATACAGAGAGTAAATATTGCTCGGCATCCTAACAGACCAACTTTTCTTGATCACGTGTTTAATATTACTGAAAAGGTATAGTGCTTGCAGGTTCTCTGCCTGGTCATATTCTCACTTCCACGATACATATTAATTTCCAGCCTTAATACTAAAGAGAAAATGTCTGAATATATCATTTTATATTTATTTGTCCAGTTTGTGGAGCTTCACGGAGATCGAGCCGGTTATGATGATCCTGCCATTGTCACTGGTCTCGGAACTATAAATGGTAGAAGTTACATGTTCATGGGTCATCAAAAGGGCAGAAATACGAAGGAGAACATTCAACGCAATTTTGGGATGCCCACTCCCCATGGGTATGTAGGAAATTAAGTCAATCCCCAAAGCTGACCTTCTGAATATAATTATGTTCGTTATCTGACTCTAAATTGTTTTCCACAGTTACCGCAAGGCAATGCGCATGATGTATTACGCAGATCACCATGGATTCCCTATTGTTACTTTCATTGACACTCCAGGAGCATTTGCCGACCTGAAATCAGAGGAACTAGGCCAAGTATGTGGTGATTGTATCGTCAAGCTTGTGTGATTCTCTCAATTCTGCCTTACCAAATCACTTGATTTAACTGGATGCAGGGTGAAGCCATAGCTCACAACTTGAGGACTATGTTTGGTCTCAAGGTGCCAATTATTTCCATTGTTATTGGGGAAGGTGGTTCTGGTGGTGCTCTGGCCATTGGCTGTGCTAATAAATTGTTGATGCTCGAAAATGCAGTTTTCTATGTTGCCAGGTAATTTGTTACTGACAGTTTTTCATTTGCTATATTTTTAATAGAACGTTTACCATTGGATTTGTGCCTGTTGTGTTTTGTGTGCATGCTAAGTAAATCTCAAGTATGTATCCCATTTTTGTAGATTATTATCTACATGGCTTATGACTTTAAGGACAAAATAACTTTTCGACTTAGTTTCAAAGTAGTCTCACTATCATCAGACATTATTTCAAGAACATAAGGGGTCAATAAAGTTTACTCTCTTGGCAGACAAGCTGTAAGATGTCTGTTTCATCTGTGGCTATCTTATTTCAACACATTGGCAATTTAATATTTGTAGAGTATTTGGCTGAAAGCATTCATTTAAGTTTCCAAAAGTGAGTCTGACAACTGTAGTCGGTGTTATATTATTAAATGGGTGGAAATGCATCTCAGGAAAAGAATGTAAAGTGTGCTCAGTATTGTTTTTATTTTTCTTAAAAGTTAGGAAGTTCTTGAGGAGAATGTGGAAGTTGGCCTAAACCTATGACATGATTTGGTGGATGTTAAAATCTTCAACATCGCTATGCTTACTGTCAAACAATTACCGATGAAGCATAATCTTATATGAAGATGGGCATATACTTTATGCATGCGCTTGCCAAGTGTCTTTTGCGTTGACATCCTGCAAGGCTGCAGAATTCACTCTCTAAAAAAAATCTTTTATGAGGGCAGTAGATACTATTGGCAAAGTTATTTGTTTGTTGCTTCTTTTTTCCTTTTTTGTATTCTTTTTTTTTTTTTTTTGTAAAAAAAAAATTTATTGTTGGTTTTTAGTTTCATAATCCCTTGGAGTCTCATCCCAATTACAATGGCATTTTTTAAATTGTTTGTAGGTTTAGTTAACAAAGAGCCAAATGGTAATCCTCTTATGCTAGCCGTAGTTGACTACTCCTGGGCAATGAATTGCTTCACATTCTTTATAACTAAATGAACTACTACTTTTACTTTAATTTTCAGTTGATAACGGAGTGTGATAAGATTATACTTAGCTCAACTCTATTCTGTCCTTTTATTGCCCTACTAATGTGAATATATTCTCTGTTAGAATGTGGACTCCTTTTTGCATAGAGGATATGACTTCGTAACTTTCATCAAATATTTTCTATTTTCCCTTTCTGTTTATTGTTGTGCATGTGTGGATCTGTTTTTATTTTTTTCCTTCTTCATCACATTTCCTATGGTACAGCCCAGAAGCATGTGCAGCAATCTTGTGGAAAAGTGCCAAAGCTTCTCCAAAGGTTTGTGTCAAATTTTCTCTATTTGGCTTGTCTAAGAGATTAAATTAATAAATAAATGTAACTGTCTTCCTGTGCAGGCTGCTGAGAAGCTTAAGATAACTGCAGGAGAGTTGTGCAAGCTACAAATTTGTGACGGAATTATACCGGTAACATTCTTCTCCGGTAATAATAATAATAAGAATAAAAACAAAACAAAAAACACTTTTCATACTCCCTAGTTACTGACAACCATGCACCTGCATTGGGATTATGATGCAATTAATATATACAAGACAACTTATTATGATGTTATAAAATGTACAAGGCAATGACTTGATGCTGTGACGGTATATGATTTGCTTTTTTCTAGAACTCTGCTATACATTAGATACTTTGGATATCATGTGGTCTGTTTTGTGTTGTTTGTCTGTGTAACATTTCTGAAATACCAAAAAAAAAAAGTCGTTTGTCTGTGTAAAATTTGACAGGAGTAACAAATCCTTCTTCTTGTGCTCCTTTTGGCCTCTAGAGAAGCTGCTACTTCGATTTGATTTTCAACTTCAAGGTTTCTCTTTTCTTTTATGGCATCTTAATTGAACATTTGGACTTCCTGCAGGAGCCACTTGGTGGTGGTCATGCTGATCCACATTGGACCTCACAACAAATAAAAATTGCAATTGTTGATGCAATGGACGTGAGTATATTGACATTATTTTCTTTGCAACAATCATCTTCCATCAAAATCCTAATGTACATATTTGGTTTTATAGGAGCTTACAAAGATGGATACACAAGAGTTGTTAAAACATCGTATGTTAAAGTTCCGAAAACTTGGCGGCTTCCAAGAAGGAATTCCTATAGATCCAAAAAGGAAAGTCAACATGAAAATGAAAGAAGAGCCCATTTTTAAGCCTGGAAAGACTCTAGACCTGGAGCTGGAGGGTGAAGTTGAAAAACTTAAACAGAAAATTCTGAGAGCCAGTGAGTCATCTACTGAGTCTCCAGAGTTGGGTCTGAATGAAATGATAGACAAACTGAAAAGAGAAGTTGATCATGAATTTTCTGAGGCAGCTAAAGCCATGGGCTTGAAGGACAGGTTTGTGATGCTTAGGGAAGAATTTGCAAAAGCAAGGAATTCTAAGGACCAGCCCATGAATCTGGATCTGAAGGACAAGATCGAGAAGCTCAAGGATGAGTTCAACCAAGGTTTGCCAGGAGCTCCTAATTATGCGAGGCTTAAATATAAGCTTGATATGTTGGAGGAAATATCTAAAGCCAAGAATCTGTCCGAGAATAACAACAAAACAGGCGCGTTAAAACAGGAAATCAATAAGAAATTCAAGGAGGTTTTGGATCAGCGTGATATGAAAAATAGGATCGATGCGCTGAAAAAGGAAATCGAAGACTCTGGGATATCCACATTTGCAGAATTAAACCAGGGGATGAAAGAGAAAATCTTGCAGGTGAAGGAAGAGATAGAGACAGAATTTGCTGATGTTCTTGAATCCTTGGGTTTGCATGTTGAGCCGCGTTCATTCTCAGATGTCAAGGATAAGATAGAGGAACTTAACGAAGAAATTAACCAGGTAATTGAAGATGTTATCAATTCATCGGATTTGAAGAACAAGATAGAACAGTTGAAATTGGAGGTAGCAAAGGCAGGAAAGACTCTTGATTCAGAGTCAAAAAGTAAGATTATGGTTTTGGAACAACAAATAAAGCAGTGTATTGCAGAGGCTATGGATTCCTCGGTATTGAAAGAGAAGCATGAGAAGCTGAAGGCAGAGATTTCTGAAGCCTTGGAATCTTCTGGGGGGTTGGATGCAAGTTTGATTAAAGGAAATGTGAAAGAAGGCAATTCCAAGTTTGACGGGTCAAGAGTAGAGGTTAATTTCGAAGCGAACCGCAGCTTTGCTTGATGTAAGTTCACTCATTCTCATTACTTGTCAATTTTTTTATGCCCTTTTTATCTGATTTTCAGAGTAGGTATTTAATTCTTGGTTTTAAATGATTTGAAGGTTATGCAAATGCAAGGTGTTCTTTCTTTGCATTTGAAATGAAAATAAAATGTATGGAATTTTGAAAACTTGACCTGTTTGGTTGTTGGGAAATTCTACTTACACAACAAAAAGAGCTCATTACACCCCAATTTTTCAAAATAAAATTATTACTCTTGCCCCTTTTCAAAATTACCAAAAAACCCCCAAAACCCTAATTACCCTTTCACCACCATCTCCACCGTCCACCACCACTGCCACTACTGCTAGCAACTTCCCTTCCCATCGCCGGTGAGCCACTCTGCCATTTCTGCAGCCTCCAGACGTTAAACCCCATCGGAGATAACCCTCATCTGTCTCTCCACCATCGTGCCTTGCAGATCTTCGTCGTCGCAGCCACTCATTCTGCAACACTCCCACCTCTATGTCCCTCACCAGCGTGACCCACCGCCATCACGATCCACTTTCATCACCACCCAACCTCTCTTTCATCACCACCCAACCTCTCTCCCCATCCACTAAGTGAGAGATGAGACAGAAACCCTAGGGTTTTCAAATCTGGAAAGATGAAGAAGGAGAAGGAGAAGGAGAAGGGGAAGGGGAAGGGTTGTTTGTCGTGGCGGAGGTCAAGGGGAGGGATTCGTAGCAGAGGAGAGTTGTTGGAATGGGAGTCGGAGGCGGGGATGGAGAGGGGTCGCAGTTGTCGGAGATGGTGACGAGTGTGGCTGGTTCGTGGGGAATAATGGTGGCAGTGGTTGGTCGTGGCAGTCGGAAGGGCAAGACAGTGGTAGAGGAAGTTGCAAGGAGAGAGGGGCTGGGGAGGGGGCACCGTCGCACCGACAATGCCTGCAGGAGTTGTTGGCAGCGGCTGTGGCTGCCGGAGGTGGAGAATGAGGTAGAATTAGGGTTTGAAAATGTGGGATAAAAATGACGGTAAGTTTGGTATTATGGTAAGTGTAAAGAGAGAATCAATCAAAATTGATTTTGGTGTAATGAGAAATTGAGTGTAAGGAGATAAAATAGTGGTGTAAGTAGAATTTCCTTGGTTGTTTTCATTTTCTGGAAAATACAGACAACTCCTTTTGCAAAAGAAAAAAAAATAATTGAAAACAACCCACTTTCTAGGAAATAATGGAAAGTTGTTTTCAAAATTTTTAAAACTACTTTAGCGCAAAAATAAAAACAAAGTGAAAACGATGGGTGTTATCGAACTTTTTATTGTTTTTGTTTTTGAAAACTCGAGAAGCAAAAATAAAGGAAACGAAAACACAACCAAACAGAAATCTGGGATTGAAATTTCATTCTCTTGGATTCCAGTGAGTTTCAAAGGGCTGCACCTCTTATTTTATGACCTGAGTATGTTTTTAATTTGGTTGTTTCATAATGTGATTGCTAGATTGCTGATTCTTTCGGTGGTTGGTTATATTCTTTCATTTCTAATTTCATGCAAAAAAAATTTCTTTATTCGTACACAGCACAGGCAAAGATGATTTAGGAACCAATCACGGAGATGAATTCATCCTTTGGAACTGCACAAATGACTTCAAAACAAAGTCTCATTTCAACCTCTATTCCTGACACCATCTTCTCCAAAGAGTCAGCAAAATTTTGCATTTGCAGGAACACAAGAGTGGCACAGGTTATGTGCTTGTTTTCAAACTGAAATTTTCCCCATTTTGATTTAGTTTATCTCGTTTTATCAGGGTTTTTTTTCACCCCTTCTTTTATATACATTTTCCTTATTTATTTAACTGGGTAGATTGTGTTGTTTCTCCTCCTACTGGTAGAAACAGAACTATGTATAAATTGTGTGTGCAATAGCAACGTTAAAAGCACGATGGGAGGGTATTGCTCTTGTCCTTGGCTGATTTTTAATAATTTATTTCATGAATTACATTACTAAATATATCTCCCTCAAATCGCTAGGTTTTACATGGATGCGGACTTCTTAAAATGGAAAATTAGTGACATTTCATTGTTTTCAAACAGTGACATTTTCTGCTTTATCTATTTCATTGTTACCCAAATAGTGACATTTGCTTTTAAACAGTGAAATTTTTAATTGAGGTTAAAAATTGCAAAATAGAAGGCTAATTTTAAAAAATGAATATCTAATTTAAAATTTATGGTTGAAAATTTCAAATTGGGGATTTTAAAATGACAATTATAAATTTCTCTGTGCCAAGATAGAGAAATTTCATTGTGTTAGAGTTTAAAAATGAGCAAAATTGAGGCACCTAGTTTTCTTACGCTGTGTTTGGTTGGAAGATTTAAGAAGGGATTTGAAAAGGGAAAGGGAAAAGTTAGGTGAAATATGAATAAAAAATACCTACATTTCATTTAGTTTCACACACATTTTTATTTTTTATTTTTAAATCTCTCCCCCAAATCCCTCAACCAAACACATAATTAGTATCACTTATATATTTACATGTTATTTATCATTTTAGTGCCACTTATCTAGTCATTTCATCCCTACCAGTGGTATTTTTTTTCTGTAAATTTTTGGCGATCTACTGACTTCTTCGGCAAACTTTTTGGCGACCGACAATCCAATGGTAATTCGGCAACAGTGGATAAACATAGAAAAAATAATCTTTCAAAGTGTAAAATATTATAATTAGGGTCTTATAATTTAAAAAAAAATTCAGTTATATTATAACAACATGATTCCTGATTGGTTGATTTCGGTTGTAATTTTTTTTTTTTTTTTTAAATAAAGTTTTAGTAGATTTGCCAATATTGACTGTCATTGTTATATTTTGTCTTCTCTATTTTCATATACCTATCAGTTTGTGATTTATATGTTAAAAAAAAATAAGAATAATGATCCACCACATATTAATTTTAAACTTTCTTTCTCAGTCCAAGTTTTAATTGGTCATATTTCTTTCTCAATCTCAATAATTTTAGTTTTGATCAAGTCTTTAATGATTGATTTGGAAATTTGCTAAAATTGTGCCAACAAATAAAAAGTGTAGTCTATTTGCATAGTCACAATTCAAAATAAAATTAGCTTATAACAATTGCGATGCTATAAGTAAAATATTTTGTACCATTTAGGCTCTGTTTATTTCAACCTAAAATATTTTTATTTTATACACTTTTATTGTTTGGTTGAACAAAAGGAAAGTACGGGGTTGTTTGGGATATCCTAAATAAGTGTATTTTTTGACTTTTTAGACTAAAAAGTTGAGGAAAAAATATAATTGTTTTGGTTAACTTTTTGACTTTTTATGAAAAAATGTGTATTAAAAAATTGTATAAATTTGTGTGTAGGAGAAAATTAGGATTGAGAGTTGTGCAGAAGTACTTTTTTACTTTTGGTGAATAGTGATAACTTTTTAACTTTTTGAGTAACTTTTTTGACTTTTTGACTTTTTGGGCACATGCCAAACTTAAAATATTTTTCTAATCCAAAAAATAGCTTATTGTAAAAAATTCATAAATCATTGCCAAACCCATACCCATTTAGCACATTTTACCTTTTTAAATAGATATCCTAACACACTAATTGTTTGATAAAAAGCCAATTGAACTTGAGTTTTACTTCCAAAGAAAGAAAAAAAATGTGTTTCAAGTGTCAGACAAACATTAAAAATTAAAAGCAATTTTCTTTAGTGCCATATTAGTTTACATAAAAAAAATTAAAAAAATTAAATATAAAATATTTTACATCGAAACATATGAAATTTTAATCGGAATTTTCCCTATTTCTTAAAGTGCATAATGCATATAAACTAATTGCATTTCAGTTGAGTTTTCAAAAAACCTTCCAAATACTAATGTTTGGATGGCAGATTTGTAAAATGAATAAAAGTGTTAAAGAAAAACAAATATAAATTTATATTTTTTTAGGGTTGAGAAAAAAGATAAACCATAAATATGTTTACTAATGTGTTTGTTTTTTTGTATTTTTTTTGTTTTTAATAAATATTTTTTAAATTTTAAGTAATTTTTTTACTTTTTTATATGCACCTTACTTAGATGTATCTAAATAGTAAAATATTTGTGACAAAATATTTTTAAAAATTAACAAATACACAAAAATACGAAAAATGTACTGAATTTTCATTTTTTTTTTTGTATTTTTTGGTATTTAGTATATTTTTTAAAGATTTTTTTCATAAATATTATACTTTTTAAGTGTATTTATATTAGGTGTGTCTAACAATTAAAACAAATTGCTTAAAATATTAAAAAAAATTATTGAAAATATTAATATATGAAAACTAAAAAAATATAATTTTTTAAGAACTATTTTCAGAAAACAAAAACCAAACAAATCTCAGATAAGATATGAGAGAGTTCATAATCCACGGTAAATTTTACTAGTCAAGTTCCCCTCCTTATACTTCCTCCTTGCATTTCTTACTTGCAGGGCCATTGGGCCCATTTTTAGGCCCAATTTTGATAATCCGAATCGTTCATATTTTAATATTTGTTCAGTATATCATACCTGTAAAAAATCAAATTGATCGGATATCAGAAAGCATGTGTTTGAAAAACTGTTTATTAAATTTTTTTTAAAAATAGTTTTTAATTCAATTTTTCCGAACACATGCTTTCTGATATCCAATCAACTCGATTTTTTTACAGGTATGATATACTGAATAAATCTTAAAATATGAACGGTTCGAATTATCAAAATTGAGTCTAAAGGTAGGCTCAATGGTCCTGCAAGTAAAAAATGATGCAAGGGGAGGATCCTTGCTCAAATTTTACACGAGTAAAAGAAAATATTAAAGTTAGATTTTTTTTATTAGGTTGAGAAAAAGATAGAGGATAAACAAATAGGTATAATATTTTAAACAATGCTTGGGAGCACTAAAAATGAAGTACTAAAAGGAGCATTAATGATGTGGCAGTAAGCTCCACCCACTTTCTATGCCTTGTTTTTTTTTTCTTTTTTTTACCATTCCCAATGCATTAGTGCTATTAATAATGTATTTTTTAGTGATCTAAATCATTGTTGTAATATTTTTGACTAGGTCAATCACGAATATTAATGTTTGCCTCTCCTATAAGGGGATTCTATTTACACCCAAAAAAATTATTGTGGGTGTTTAGAAAGTTATTATTTTAATAAGTTATTTTAGTTTTTGATTATTTTAGTAGGTTAAAAATTTTATATTTAGAAAGATGATTAGATTTTTTTGTAGTTAGATGTGATGTTTGTAAGAAAAAAAAAAATGAAATGATTATGAGTTTGATGTGATATTTTGTCTTATTAATTATATTAATCTATTTTATCTTTTTTGTGAATTTTAACCTCAACCAAGCTAAAATTTTGCTTGCCCGTTTGGTGTAGCTGTTAAAACAGTTTATAGATTATACCTTAACAGATTATAGATTATGACTTTAATCAGAAGTTGTTAATCTGTTTGGTGTAACTGTTGGATTATAGATTTAAGTTGCTGAGTAGTGTTTGTTAAATAAGCTGTGCAATAGTTTTTTCAATTAATTTTTATTTTTTGTTTGTCTACATTTCTCATAAAAAATAATAATAATAATTTATAGTCCATTTGAGTCTTTTTCTATTTTTAAAAAAAAAAAAAAATTTAAGAGTATAACCATAAATTAACATGTCTACAGCAGAAGCTGATAATCAGAAGCAAGGGGTGAGCAACTTTTCAGAATCAGCTTTTTTGAGTTAAAATAAACTGTTAGAATCAGAAGTTGTTTGAAATAAGTTTAACCAAATAGTCTGAAATAACTTTTTCAAAGCTAAAAGTCATAAGTTGGCTCTGAAAAGCTAAAACAAACACTCGCTTTGTTTTGAAGGATTAGGGGGTGAGATTGAACTATTAGTCCCACCGGACTAATAGTCCATTGTTTGTTTCGTTTTTTTTGTTCCGGACTAATAGTTCCACTAGACTATTAGTCCCACAAATATGGGACTATCCTATCTCATGAGGGGGGTGGGATAGAAACATGGGATTGGTTTCCCATGGGATTATTTTGTGAAATGTCCATTTTACCCACGATGCTATTACCTAGCAAACAATTAGAAAATGATAAAATAGTTTTTTGAACATTTATAAATTATTTTTTTAGTATTGTTAATTTAAAATTATATATTAAATAAAAAAATTAATTATAAATTATAAATTAAATTTAATTAAAAATAATAAATTATAAATTATGGCCTTATAAATTAAATTTTTTTAGTGTTGTTAAAAATTAAATTTACATATTAAATTAAATTATTTTTTTAGTGTTGTTAATTTAAAATTATATATTAAATAAAAAATATAAATTATAAATTTAATTTAATTGAAAATAATAAATTAAAATAATTAAAATATTGTGCAAAAAATAAAATAAAACAAATTTTTTATTTAATCTAGCTAAAAATAATTAAAATATTAAAGCTATGTTTAATATTGCTATTATTTAGTAAATAATTGAAAATGATAAAATAGTCATTTGAACATTTATCCTTCCCCATAATATCCCAAACAAACATTGGATAACTAAAAATAGTACAATTCAGGCATCTAATCCCATGACTAAACAAACATAGGATACAAATTTAGTCAAACCAAATAGTCTCGGGACAATGTATCCCAGGACTAATAGTCCGATGGATTACAATTCTTCCTTATCTAGTCCGTCCAAACAAACGCACCCCAAAAGTACTCTCAATTTCCAAGTACACTTTGTTTAATTATTTAAAATTTACTCTCATTACACCTTATTATTTTTCTCAAATTACCCTCAAGGTAAATCCAAATAATAAATAATAAACAAACTAAAAAAAATAAATTATTTCAAAAACTTTTCAATACATAAAATAATTCTCAAAAAAAACAAACAAACAAACAAACAAAACAAATAAACTTGTAAGCACATAAGCATTATAAATACAGAAAAAA